CAAGGTAAAAAGATAAAACCTCAAGTCTTTACAGACAAAAGCAGTGGAAAAGGGATTTTTGTAGGTCATTGGTTACGTGGTGGAGTTTTGTAATCTCACACTGATCTTACTTAAACACGGGATAATGCAAGATAAGACCCATACTTAGCTGGAAGTTAATCTTCTTGTGTCCAGTAGCTTAAAAACTCTCCATGTACAGGTGTGTCCCACCTAACTGCGACATTTTCTACACAGTCACTTAAGTTCTCAGCATTACTCATGCTCTTAACAGAAAATAAGAGTGTTTTGTTAGGAGTGGATAGGCTACAACATGTACTTTTGATATCCTATGTGTAGTAAATGCATTTCAAGATGCCAAGGGGGGAATTGAATGTATTGTGGAGAATATGGTCATTTTCTTCTATGCACATTGAAAAAAATACAGTTTCCTTCTAAAAAGGGAAACAAAACCAACCACACCACCCCCAAAAAAACACCTATGGTATTCACTGCTACATGAATAACAGAGGATGTCCAGGTGAAGACACATCAGTAGGGTTTCTTGACTGAAATGTTATTATAATTGGAATAAATGATGAATCTGTATTGACCTCCCAGAGAGGAAAAGGGTTTGTATGACTGGTGTAGTGTTTAGAGGACTCTCCCTCACTCTTAAGTCATCACTTCTAATTAAATTTGACTTGTCAAGTAAAGTGAGGGAACTTTGTGCCTGTGGATTCACCTGGAATGAATGAATGAATGAATGAATGAATGAAAGAAACACTAAAAAAATGAAATTATGTCATTTATATTAAGTTAATAAGTGTTTTCTTGTGATGTTGGTATAGTAGCTTGTTGCACATTGTACTGTATTCAAATGACAGTTTTATATTATTAGTTTGAGCTGAAGTCATTCATGTGTTGACCTTTCCAAATATCATTGCTAATGTTAGGAAGAGGAGGAGGGAATAGGGAATTTAGGGAACACAGTTCTGATGCAGAGTTCACCGGCTGTTGAAATGACTCTAATGTTTAGAACAGTCCAGACTTTGAGTGTAATGTTAATGTCCTTATAAATCATATTTTGGCAAGCACATTGTAGCACATTTTTCTTTTCTGTTCTAGACATAACAAAATTGAAGCTTGACAATGTTCATATAATACATACTGTTGGATAGCGTGTGCCTGAACAGAACTGTTTAGCTATAGTAGTTCACAGATTGTTATATATTTTATTTACTTAAATTACTGACTTTATCTGTTCTTTTTCTCTCTTTTTACCTCATCCCACCTCAGAGTGATAGCCTTTCAAGGTATGTACAATTTGAAGAAATTAATTTAAAATCATTACACTTTTTGTTCACATATTCTCATTTTAAGTTCTTTACGTACAAATGCAGCTTGACCTCAGTAGTCAGCTGGGTTGAGCTTTGAAAGGAGTTAATGATATTTAACATTTGTGTGAAGTGTGGTTGTAAAGCTGCAATACTGAGTATGTTCTCCTTGTGTGGGTGGGATGCTCCATTCTGGGGACTGTATTGGACTCTGTATCTGTAGTGCACTGAAGGCTGGGCAAGTGGTAGAACACAAGGGATACAGTACCGTTCCCTACAGACCTTTCAGTATGAAGTCAGCCACAGTCACAAGAGGTTCTTGTTGCCCCTCTTTTAGAATACTGTACTGAAAATTTTCTAAGGAATCTCAAGAAAAGTACTACAGCCTCTGAAAATCAGATTTCCTTAAGATTTGTTGAAAGGGAAATGCAGAAATATTGATTTTTTTTAAAAAAGTTTGCCTTTGTTTTTAGCCCTTTAGAATTAGTCACTGGATTTTACTACATTCTGCCTGTGCTGAAAATCTGTTAAATAGAACTGCTACAGCATGTGGTCACTGAGGAGTGAGCAGTGTGAAATTATTCTGAACTTTATTAATACTGGTTGTAATTTAGTGATTAATAGGATAAAGACTTCGCTGACGATCTGTTTCATAGACTGCTTCTGTTGACATACTGGAATTCACAACAGTTTTGAAATCTCCTTTGTTTCTCTAATAAAACTTGGAGAATTAATCTAGGCCAATATTTTAGATAATTATTTTTTTAAAACCCTTCAATTAAAGTAATACATTTTAAATAAGAAAGGTCTTACATATAAATAAAGAATAATTAAATTTATATTTAAATCCATGTAAATATTTGCTTGAATTAAGTAGTTTAATTTAAAAGATTTCTCTGCATACAACACAGGCACTTAGTTGGCAGACTGAGTAAGTTGAAAACATTTTCACACAGAGAATATTGAAGAGAGAATGTAAAAACTTTGTGTCAAATTAGAATACAGTGGCTTAACTAAAATGCGTAATTGAATTTGTTGTTTTCAGCTGGGAAATGGCAAACTCATAATGTTTGATGCAGCGAGTGGTCTCAGTTTGAACACAAGGGCAAAGGAAAACAGGAACTTCTCTCTTGCAGATACGATACGGGATCCCTCAGCGTGTCTTCGGGTGATCGCTACGACTCAGCGCAGGGGCGATCGGGGTCACAGAGTTACCTTGAAGATCGAAAACCGTACTGCAGTAGACTAGAAAAAGAAGATAGCACTGATTTTAAGAAGGTACCTGCTCCAATAATTCTGGCATGAAGATAGAACTTTATTATTGTTTTTCGTAAATTTTCTGGAAATAACCTCACATTGCTTTTATTTTATATGTTTGCTAGCTTACGTACGTATGATGTAAAAGTTTGTTTATTTTTAAAAAAGAGGAGGACTTTGTCGAAAAGTTTACTGTGGTATCTTAATCTGTGGAGTCTGAAGCAAAAAAAAATGGCAGGTGTTTTTTTAATATGTGTAAGGTAAGTTCTGTGCACCCTATGCAAAGTTGCTTGTTTCTAGAAATATTTGGTAACAGTTCTTTAAAATGCTTGCTACATTCTGAACATCTTTAAAATCTATAACTGATTTTTACTTCGTAGAATATTAATGTATTTGTTCATTTTACATGCAGCTTAATCCTGGTTTTTAAATTTTTCAGCTAATGTCACTGAAATATTATTTGGTATTTTTTTAAATGTTTTCTCTTAGCTTTATGAACAGATTCTAGCTGAAAATGAAAAACTGAAAGCACAGTTACATGATACCAACATGGAACTTACAGATCTTAAGCTACAGTTGGAGAAGACCACTCAGGTTTGTATAAAATGAAAAAGCCTGCACCAGGGGAGGTTGAGATTGGATATTAGGAAAAATTTCTTTACTGAAAGAGTGGTCAAACACTGGAACAGGCTTCCCAGGGAGGTGGTGGAGTCACCATCCCTGGAGGTGTTCAAGAAGCGTGTGGGTATGGCACTTCAGGACATGGTTTTAGTCGGCATGGTGGTGTTAGGGTGACGGTTGGACTCGATGAACTTAATGGTCTCTTCCAACCTTAATGATTCTATGAAACTAGAAGCACCCCAGGGTATGGGCTGCTCTTTACTAGGCATCAGCTTTGTTTCTTATCCAAAGATGAGAGTGAAGAAGGGTACCTCTCCATTTCTAAAGACAAAAGAGCACAGGATTCTGGTCTTTAGCTGTCAACAAAATGTCTGAGACTGCCTCCTGCCTGTTTAAGTAGTTAGGTTCTTGCCAGCATGTATCTGTAACTTCTTTGCAGGGTAGGGATAAACACTTTCTCCACTGTTAAGCTTATATCCAAACTGTCAGCTGGGGTTGATTGATGAATTCATAAACCTGCTGGCAGATTGGCATATCCTGGCAGTCCTTCCTGGCTGGTTAGATAGCTTTATCGTAGAACTGAAGAGCAAACAGCGCACTCCGGTTACAGGTACCTGCTGTCACCTAACACTGCTGCATACAGCAATATCAAATATGTACACAAAAGTTATTTTTTTCCTAAATTGCTGTAGAGCATTTCCTATTCTCAGATCACATTTGCCACAATTTATCTGTGTTGGTACTTAAGTGTCTTCCACGTGCACCCTGTAAATATCAGTGACGTACATTAAAAAGATGTTTGTTTTGTAATGCTTTTAGATAGAAATACTGTATTACTCCTATTTGCCAAAGGCTATGTAGTGATTAAATTACTGAGGGATGGTCACAGAGGAAGTGCATGGTAAATCCAGTTCATTTTTCTTTATTTCAATGTTACTTCCCTGAACACACTTTAAAATGCTTTTGAAGACATACTTCAGACAGACTGCTAAAATGTCCAATTGAATTGGTTTTCCTCGGTTTTATGTTTTTTTAAGAACAAGTACCAATGTCTTTATTAATTTTTTGTTTCAGAGACAAGAAAGATTTGCTGACAGATCACTCTTGGAAATGGAGAAAAGGGTGAGTTTCTGCCAAATATCTCTTAAGTACTCCAGTTCAGGCTTTGTCTGAGTTTGTTTTGCAATCCCGGGCTTGGATATATTTTAGTAGGAACAGAAGCCTTTCTTATAACTTGCATTTTTTAGAAGATCTGGGGAGTTTAGGTTTCAAAGTGGCAATAAATGTGAGATACTGTGAGATGGGATTACTCTTAAGAATGGTCTTCAGGTCGCCTGTTGGCTCATGATAACCAGCTTCTAAACCCCAGTGCCCTCCAGGGATCTGCCCCTTGTTCCATCTCATCCAAAACAATGTTGGCACTCCAGAGGGTTATGCAGATTCAGAGTCTCATCTTCTGATGCATTTCCAACATTCAGAGACTTTCATTTCCTCAGAGCTTTCCAGAGGCATGCGTGGTGTTTTACCAATTACTGTTGTGATGAGGTAGCTATTTCTACCTCACAGACATGAGACCTTAAACCTGCTAATGATATAAAATTAATCATCATCTGTCTCTCTACCTTGTACTGTAACTTTTTGCAGAGGGAATGTGATACTGGGGCAGAGGGGGAAGAATGAGTAAGCAGTGTGAGAAGAGGGTCATCAGGGTCAGAGACAACCTTAAATTGAATGGGAATGCAGTCATGTAATAAATCCATATGTGAGATGGACTTCAGGAATTATTTCAGAAGCTGCACACATGATCATTTTAGGCTGTAGTTTCACACTGGTTTAAAATCCATCCCTATAAAAGTTCAGTTCCACAGCACTGTAAAGCAAACTGCGTTGGTTTTGTTGTGGTCTTGGCTTCCTTCATGACCCTGGCCACACGGTCCTTTCTCCTCCCCTGATCCTAGAGCAACATAGTGGACATTTAAACAGAAAGCAAACTAAATGGACTTCGACAGTAATAAGTGATATGGTATGCATTTATTTATCCCTGGTAAACTTCACATTCATTAGCCTTTTATGTTTATGTTCCAGAATTTGAGGTTTAGAAAACAATTTTCAGTTCTGCAAACCTGTCTGGTGTATAAACAAACACTTGGTAGGTTTCATAAGAGCACATGGAGATGCAGAAATGCTCTCAGGCACTTCCTGAACTTCCATTATCTTTATCTCGATAATCTCCAGATTATCCTTGGAACACCTTATCCTTGGTGCCATCTCAA